GATCGTACAGATTTGACTGCTGAACTATGCTCCCAGGCAACTTCAAAAACTACCAGAATCACTAGACCTTAGTCTATGAGTTTATTTGAAAAATATGATTCGCCAGCACACGATTTCCAGCAAGGATATGTTAAGAAAAATGGCTAAAAATAAACGTACAGGATAGTGCGAAGCTAGTTGAGTCCATGCAAAGACGAACTTTATTGTTTTTTCTTTGGTTACAATAAATCAGAAAACAAAAACCGCAGACTTTTTCCGCTATTTGTACATATGCCAATATTAACAGTAATGCAAGAGAGGAAACTACAGAACTAGCAAATAAATATATTTCAAATAGAAAGTCCCATTTGCGCCATAAATTTCAAAACCAAAAGCATACTTAAATAAAAAGTAAATATACATAAGAAATATTTTAGTTCGAAATAAACATAAAAAAGTTGGGTAAAGTGAAACGTTTAAAATATTTGATAAAAGGACATAAATAAAAGGCTAAAGTATCAAGGGCAAATCACGATATTTTAATGACAAATCAATGAAATAAATTCATTCACTTATATAATAAAATTCTATATTAAATTTGAAAAATATTTTTTATATTTTTTCTATAATTTTATTGATTATTAGTAATAATTAGTAATAATTTGTCTTATTAGGTATATTATTATTTGTTCAAAATAAATATTTAAATAATATGATTTTGAGGCGTAGTTTAAAGAGCATGCTAAACAAATAGGTTTTGCAATAATTTGTATTAGCGAAGTCATACATTATATCTGGAAGGATGACCTGGTGGTACTTTAATAAGTTTTAAATATTTTGACAAATATATGTTAAAATTATAGTGGTCTAATTTTTTTCAATCGCCGATTTAACTTACAATGTAGTCGTTCAATGCGTATTCGCGTTTTAATCAATGACTCAGTAAAATATTTTCACCACATGTACGAATTTATGATAATGGTATAATAACATATCTTGGTAATAATTTACCAGACTTCAAACGAGAACATATCTAAGACTGAATCGTCGGATGATCCACGCTTTCTCACAACACGTACAGTCACGGACAAAAGCTTGAATACACCCTGAAAATTCAGAGTTTAAACAAAAATAAACATTTAAATAAAATTATAAGTATGCAACTTCATTTCATTTCATAAATTATTACTCATTTCATATAAACAAAAAATATTTACGTAACGGTTAATTTAACAAAAACGAAATAATGATGAAATTGACAAAATTTTCAACAAAATATAATACTTAAATATTTTGTCGAACCGTATTGAGTTTCTATGACTGCTTTACTACCGAATGTTGAACGCGTGTTTGTACTCCTTATTACTCAACTACCTTTTTGTAACAGATTCTTATACACTTCCTTCAGGATAAAGTTAACATCTCGACGAGAAAGTGTTTTTGGTCGTCTGCTTTTAGACATATTTTTCACTGAATCATTTTGTTTGTGTTTTCTAATGATATTTTGGACACTTCAAAATAGAACATTAAATTATTTTCCTATTTCTCGATAGGATGTACCTTCTTGATAGCGCTTAATTACCAAAATTTTAAAGCTTAGCACTTTTCCTATGCCCATAATGACTCAGATTACAATAATGACTTAAACTGACAATAATAAAAACGCAACTAATAATAAATTTATACTTCTAATCACCAAAATTAAACAAAAAAAAAAATAAAACGTAATTTTTTTCCCATATTTGTGAAATTTACCGTTATGTTTGCAATAAAATAAATATTTTTTGTTTTTATTTTTAATAAAACCGCAGCAATAAATAATGAAGCCGATGTAATCTTAGCACAAATTGCGTTAAGAAAATTCCAAGGAGAAGTAAAGTAGCAATATGAACACATCATAAAAAAACAGAGAAGTTCAAAAATTAAATGGTGCCAAAAATTGTTAAATGTACTGCAATCTTCATTCACATCCAAATAAGCTGCAAGACAACCACTATATAAATCCCGAGAAAGTCAGAATAATTAACTTTGTAAATATTGCAATAAACCAAGACATTTCGTAATGAAATTTTCCACATTTAAAAAATTAACGCTAAATGAAAACAAGAAAATCTTGATAAAATTAAACATATGTCACAAATGTATGAAGCATGACTCCACAAAATAATGTTATGTGAAGAGGGTAAAGGAAATCATCATACGCTGTTACATCAACAAAAAGAAAATAAAAAATCGAAAAATTATCAACAAATATGAACACTAACATAAATAGAGATACTCTTCTTGTTACGGCTATGGTAAGTGCGAAAACAGTAGGAGCAGAGAGAATATTATTGAGAGCTCTAGTAGATAGCGGATCCCAAACAACATTAGTATCAGAATAAACAGTGTAAATTCTTAGATTACCGAAGATCAAGTAAACAACAAAAATCACTGAATTTTCATCTCAACATGTAGAGTTATCAAAATATAAAGTAAATATAGAAATCTCACCGCGATTCCAAAGCAACAGGAAAATTGAAATGGAAGCCATTGTAATGCCAAAGTTACATAAATCTCTTCCAAGTAAATCATTTGAAATATCATCAAGTATAAACAAGTATATTTTAGCAAATTCTTGTTTCAACTTTGCAGAATCGAGATTATAATTGGAGCATATTTAATACCTAAAATTCAATCAAAATATCATCAATGAAATTAAACAAGTATATTTTAGCAGATCCTTATTTCATCATTGCAGAATCGACATTATTATTGGAGCATATTTTATACCTAAAATTTTACAAACGAAAATTCAAAAAATCAATGGAATGATTCTACAAGACACTTCTTTGGGATAGATAGTCTCAGGTAATATCGATATAACAACATCAAGTACTATAATCGATATAACAGATGTAGAGCAATTTGGGGAAAGCAAAATATAATAAAAATAGAAGCAAAATTGTATGACAAGCGAACTGGAAGAATATCGACTTCACACAGATAATCTGTCAAGGGAAGTACAATTACTCTCTGATAAAATGTTTGTTATAGGTAAACACATTGAAACTTATGAAGAGAAATCATATTTATATGATAGTTTAAAATTGCAACATGGGAAAGATTTAAATGGACTTGATTTGGCCAATTCAAAAATAAAGGATTTGAGAAAGTCAAATCGCAGATTAGCTAGAAGGAGTTAAGAATAATAATTCGCGTTCATCAAGCATTACTGAGATGGAAAAAGAAGTTAAGTTTTTGCTTAGCGAAAATAAACATTCGATTGGTGATAAACTATTGAACAATTGAAGAACAGATAAATGATTTGAAAACGCGACTTGAAATGGAAGAAGGAAGTAAGGCTTGTACAGCTTTCTCCAGTCTATTTATACGTTGATCATCAGGAAGTCTGCTTGAATGTACTGCTGCAATATCATTAACATTACAAGTGGCTATTACACTTTGTACTGAATTAATTTCGATTAACCGATCTGCTTGACTTGTTGCTGTAGTGACTGGTCTCTACTTTGCCCGATAGAACGAATCGAACATTGGCTGGTAGTCGTTTTAACCAGAGTGAACATAAGACATCTTTTGTCACTTTGTTGTCTCCTAAGTTTTGCATTTTGCGTAGTAACAATGCAACGGTTTGCTGTCTCCTAGTTTAATGTCGTCAAGTAAAGTTTGTAATTTTTCATGCGTGATAAGACATTCTTTAAGTGTTTTATATTTGTCAGTTGCAGAAGATTTTTTGACTATGCCTGAGACATGTTGCAATAATTCTGGATCAATGTAGGAAGTTGCTGTCCAATATTTGCTGTTATCTCCAGTAATCTTCTTGCGATGGAATGCTGCATCAACTTGAATAAACCAAAAGGCTGGATCTTGCTTCCAAAATGGTGGTAACTTGAACTCTATCGACGCTATTTCGTTTTCACCATAATACTATTGCGTAGCATGACTTGTTGAAAGTCGTTGCTCGTTATTCATGTTAAAAGTATTGTTTGCAGTGCTATGTGCTTTGTCTGGAGTCACTAATTATGGTGGAACTTGTGACTGCGATGTATCTTGTTGTATTGTAAATGCATGTTACTGTTGAAACGTATTTAATTGCTGTTGCATTTGGTTGTTCTTTAATATTTATTGAGTAAATGACATTCAAAGCCACATTAACCAGCGCAACGCCATCTGGCGTGATGTAAAAACCAAAGTACAAACCGCAACTAACTTAATGGTCCAGCGTCTATTAGTATTTAGCACATCAGAAGAGAAAAAAGAGAAAAAAACAATAAATGCTCGTAAAATAATAAACATTTACAACATTTATTTGAAAATGTTTTAATTAATAATAAAGTGGTAATACAGAAGTACCTCATAATAAATTAAGTTTTAGTTAAATAATTTAAATAAGTTTAAATAATTAAATGAAGTTTATGTGCAGATATACAATACATATAAGAATCAAAAATTTGTTTTCAAGATTTTATCATTTTATCACTATCAATAACTGAGTTCCGTCTGAACACAACAGAACTGTTCCACGAGCTACTCATAGTAAAACTCAAGTAAAACACAAGTAAAGTTCAAATCGAGAGCCTAACACAAATAAAGTGCCAAATCATGCTCTTTACATAGATTTTCATGGAATAGCTTTGTGAAAAATCTGATGAGAACATAAGTGCCGCGCAAATAAACAGTACAATAATTTACATTTAAACCAAAACAGCTGATTCCCACATCAACATAAATTTTACTTGAAATAAGATGTACGAGTAAAGTCTATGTAGTATTTTCAAATTTTGACAGGGATGTTACGGTTTCTCAGATGCTCTCATGTACTCGAAAATTTGCTGGTGGAACGCACTTGTGTGTTATTATTATTTTGATATTATATATTATTTAATTTTAAATAATTTGAGTATAGTTCAGCAGTACTCCTGAGACTATTAAATTATATGTTTGTTACTGTCAGTCTTAACTATTGCCATATTCTTTGATTAAAACAATATGTACAGTACATATAAAAATTCTAAAATACATCTAAAATTCTTAAAATTAAATAAAATTGAGTTCGTTTACTGCTACGACAAGAGAATTTCCATTAAATTTGTTTAACATTGATGTGCGAAAATATATATGTATCAAGAGAAAAATAAAATGAATGATATGAAAAGCGAACTTGTAAGCTGCGATAACGTTGAGGCTACCAAAGCCAAAATAGCGAATGTTTTGTCACAAATAAAGCGTTACCAGGAAAAGACGCGCAAGTTTATTGAAGATAATTATGTAGAATTTATGCCAAATAACTCATCCTCCGATATGTATTTAGATGATGGAAAAGTGCTAATTGAAGAATCTGATCAAATACTTCAAGATGTAAGCAAAAATGCTGTCACAGCACTGGAAGACACAAACGCTGAGTTGCAGAGTTGTGCAAATGATCTAAATGAAATTTCTTTAGGTCTTCGATTAAGTTATAGAATTTTAAAAATAGATGACCTATTTCAATGTGTTGAAGAATCAAATGCAACGAAGGACTATTTGATTGTATTGGACTTACTTCAGAAGATTAAGGATCTTACTTATAGTGAAAGTAACGACGACTGTGACCGGTTATTTCAAAAATGTGCCTGTTATGATACTATCAAAGTAAAATATCATATACAAGCTCACATGCTAAAGCAAAATTTGCAACAACAATTTCAACAGTTTCTTCAGTTAAATGAAAAACTATTTCCCCAAGCTAAACGCGTAACAATTAAGATATCAAAAGATGTAAATCAAATGCAAGATATAGTCATGGCACTCTTCCAGGTAAAATTATGAATATTTAAAAAAAAAATGAATTGATTGAATTATTTTATATATAGGCACAGTATAATCCTACTAAAATATGTGATTTTCTGTTGGAAAATTGTTTCGAGCCGTTAATAACCAAACCAGTTTCTATAGAATATTGTGATGATAGCAACGAATATTCGCAACTTACACTGTCTTATTCTTTGAAAAATCTCGGCACTAGCCTCCGCCCTTCCTATAAACAAGTTTTCGAACACTTTAAGCTAGTATTGCAATGCTTAGGTATTATTAACGTTTCGATTTCGTCAGATCAACATGTTTTTTCTATTATTGGAGACCATATTAAGGAACGAATGCTTAAACGTTTAGTCGAAGACTGCCTAATGCATGAAATTCCGGATACAATGGATGAGTTACGCGATTCAACTATAGTAGAGGACGTTCATCAATTCGAACAGTTATTGGCAGACTTTTTTTTAATAAATATCGAAAATGATCGTATTCTTAGCAATTTCACCGAAAATTTCGAAACATATTTTAGAAATCGATTTTCTAACAAATTGCTTAGTAGTGCACGTGATATAATGCAGAAAGATATGCATGACATGACATTGATTGCGGAAGAAAATAGCGCGGAATGTGTTGCTAATAATCCATTCTTGTTTCCGTGTTGCATGGTTTCCAAAAGTACATTGGTAATTATTAAGATTATTTTTTAATTTTTTTTTTTATAAGTTTATTAAAATAAAAATAAGGATGTAGTCTTCTTCATTAATTATTTCCAATTACATTGCAATTCAAGTAAATTTAAATCTCAATAATACTTTTTTTGGATCATAGATTATTACTTCATAGATTAAAATAATAGACTAAATCCTGATCCATGATGTATAAAATTTTATTCATTGGGATGTGAGAAAAATATTGTGATATATATATATAACATACAATTTTTTTTAAATATCCATAAAAGATCAATTAATATTATTATTGAATGACTATATAATGTCAACATTATTAATATTTTTATTTCTAATAATAATTCCTTCATGAAACGGAGAAATATAGTGAAAACAAGTTATATATATCACCGCTATTCTAAATACTCCCAGGGAATAAGTCTCTCTCTTCCCTCGAATAGAACTCCCTTATTCTGAATTGCTTGGGATGGGAGACAGCTGTTTTGGGAACATGTGAATAAAATAAATTAATAAAAATTTCAATGTATTATAAAACTTTTATTATAATAATTTTATTAAAATAATAATTTTAATGAAATATATTAATATAAAAATTTAAATATATTAAATTTTTACTTAATATATTTTATTAAAACATATTCGAAAAATTAATCAACCAGTCTGGATAAAAAAAAAATTTGAAATTTAATTTATTATAATAATTTTATTATGAAAATAATTTTATTATGATAATAATTTTATTAACATATATTCAAAAATCTGATCATAATAAGTTACTTACATATTAAATTAAATTCTATTTAACTTATCTCCCACACAATTTGGTTAGGAAAGATTTTATACAAAATAAGGAAAAAACTCCCATTCCCATATAATTCAGAATAGGGATAATATATATTAAAAACTTCAAAAAAAAAAATACTCCCGATAGATTTTATTATATATGTATATTAGTGTTTTCGCTTAAATAAATGTAATACAATTAAAAGTGAATTAATGTAATAAAAGATAAACAATTAATTGCTTCTTAGGAGTTGATTAAACTCATGGAACGTATACTACGGCAACCTAAACTTCCAGAAACCGATGTAAATTATTTTTTAAACATTATATGTATCATTCTAAATACTTACGTGAATTTAGTACCAGAAGTTCATGAAAAACTGCTTGAAAGCATACCTCAACAATCAGTTTTATTTTACAATAATTGCATGTTCTTAAGTCATTGGGTTGCCAAAAATTCCGAGAAAAACTTACCTTACTTTCCGGCCATAATTGACACTTTGCAGTCTACTGGAAAAAAATATTTTAACATGCAAATAACTTACCAGCGCAAAATAGTGATGGATATATTAAAAGAATTTGGTTAGTACTAAATATACATAAAAATGTCAGTAAATATATTTATTTTTTTTAGATCTTTCAAATATGCACAATCTCGGTGTTTTACCGCTCAAGTTCATACGTCAATGCATGCGGCAATTAGAACTACTAAAGAATGTGTGGCAAAATGTTTTACCCGACAGTATATACAACAAAACTTTTTACGATTTACTTGATGGTGTTTCTAGTGAGATTATTAGACGAATATTAGCTATGGAAGATATATCAGCGACTGTGGCAAACGAACTTAGCGAGTTACTTGGAGTAGTATTGGATAGAGGACCAACACTATTTAAGGTGAGTTGGTTTAATATCCAAAGCCTTTATTAAAAATACATATCTTTTTTAAAAAATAAAATTAGGATAAACATGAAGTTATACGTATCAAATCGTGGATGAAACTTGAACAACTGAAAGTGATTTTAAATGCTTCCCTACAGGAAATAACAGAGCAATGGTGTGAAGGTGTTGGAATTTTAACAGCTCATTTTAAAGCAGATGAAATTCGCCATCTAATTAGAGCATTATTCCAAAATACAGATCGGCGTGCAAATGTGTTAACAAAAATAGTTTAAAAATATTTTTTTTTATTGATTGTTACTAAATACATTGCATACATGTGTGCATTTTTTGGAATAAAATGAAGTTTATACAATTTAATAATTTTAAAACGATTACGCTATGAAAAGTTAATAGTGGCTTGCATCAACAATGGAAGCAAAATTTCTTTCACTAAACTGTGTCCTTGGCCATGTGTTATTTCTAAAATTTTTATCGATGATCTTAAATTGCTTGAAGCTTCCTTTAAGCAGTTTTTATAAAGCTCTATTTTACCAAGTTTCATGTGAAGCAATCCTAACATTGGGTGCCAATCTCCATAATATTTCCTAAAAGAACAAAAAAATTTTCATATACATATGTCAATCATTTGTTTTGAATTATGTTATACAAAATTTACCTATACCCTGGTATAAGTAGTCGCCCAATTTCTAGTGCATCTACCCATTTACCAACTTCAATGTATGCATCAAAAGCAGCATCTAATGTCTTAACGCGCCACAAATTTAATGGGTGCAAATAATCTTTTTGCTTATTTAAACATATTTGTAAGACATCAAGATCTTTAAATCAACATAAGTTTTATATGAAATTAATGAACGAATTATTTAATGTTTATAAAATTTTTTGAAATAAAATGTGATATTAGAGTACTAGTGATTTAACCCATAATAATAGGCTATACATTTGTTTGTGGCTTTTGGCAAGCTATAGTGTGTTATTTTTTGTGGATTAGTGCACTACTGCTCTTAACATATAGCCTAATATAATATAGTTCTATTATTTACACCTAAATTACCCACATGCAACTTCTTTCATTTTATCTAAGTGTGTCTTCGTTAGTGCCATAGCTTCGTTAAATGCAGCACGATATTCAGAATTTATATTGGTTTTACATAACGAACATTTATCTGCACTGATGTCGAGAAACATATTACAGTTTGTGTTGGGACATAATGCGGCGTTCATTTCGCGTAGTTCATTGGAGTCCAGACATTTTGAGCAGAAACAATAAAAATAGTAATTGGATTTTAAGTCATGTCGTCGCTGTTCTGTAGTATTTAATAGTTCAATGTAGCTTATAAAAATCTATGAATATATTTTATAAATTAAAAAAAAAAACAAGTCAATATTTATAAAATAGCATACCTTTGACCAATCTAAACAGTCAATAGTTTCAGTCGCATGTATAAGAAGAGTTGTTCCTTCAAAAGTGGCAACTGCATTTGGCCTACAGCTGTGGTCGGTGACAGAAACACCTAAATATATGGCAGTGGCAATTGAGTTCATTTCGGCATCAAGAATGTTAAATCCATTTGTGACCAACTGTTATAATATTTAATAAAAATGTATGAGAGCAGGTCTTGGAATCAGTTTGTATAACATACTTTATTGAAATGTTAAAACATTAAAAATTAACTACAAGATATGTTTGTATGTATAATAAGGGAATTGATTTTATTAATTTTATGTTCTGACACTCGCGCTGCACATAATACGAATAATGATACATTTAGATACAATTAATTTGTGGTTAAAAATATGTACTGAACTACACACAAATTTTTTGTGGCAAAAGTATAAACTATTTTTTTATTTTTTGACGCTTTGTGTTCAATTTTTGTTTACATTTGCTGCTATCGCAGAATTTCAAGCAAATGTTTTTACATTTCAATGCAGATATGTTGCAAAGAATACCTGTGCCAGTTTGGTATTTTCATGTCAGCAAGGAGCAAATTCTGTGTATTTAATTTGGCAAATCGCCAAACAATAAAAAAATATATTTTTGCGGTTATAACAAAGTATTAATAAGTTTTTATAAATATATACATTTGTTTATATATAAGTTAAAAATAACTAACATGAATGCAAAAAATTAATTATGTATTAAACCATAATAAAAATAAATAATTTCTTTGACCTGTTGTGTGGGACTACTAGCTCTAGATTTATATAAAACTACTTACTCTCCCGTAAATGGTAAGAAGCTCATTTGAATTTGGCATGATAGTGCTTTCATGCATCATTTCAGACAGCACCACTTTTAAGCATTGAAAATGAGCCATACGTGTGGCATCCTGTTCTATCTCCGTATAATCTAAGAGACGCTTAATTAAAAAACTTGTTGATTTGATCAGATTATAAACTTACGTGACATAAGATCTTGAAATTTTCTATAACTGGTTTCAGTATAATAACCACGCTCCAAATTACCACCGCTATTCAGTTTTATAATCAATTTACATAGCATACGTGCTGCATCGGGTACTGTGCGTGGATATATACGTTTTAGGAAAGGGCATTCGACTTTGTGTTGATCCCATGCCCGTATTTGACAATCACTGTTGCAATAGTAAACATACTGGCAAGTGGAGCATTTCAAAAGTTTTGTGCTGTTAAAAACATAATTTAGGCTAGAATGGAAATTAAATTTAGTCAATCCGTTAGTGTACTTACGCCTTTAGGCAATAATCACAACGTTCTTTGCGATATTTCGATTGTAAAACAAAAACAAATGGCTTCTCTTTAAGGATGAGATCACCTCGTTTAATTGGCGACTTGTTTGTCTGTTTCATCACAAATACTTCCCAAACCTTCAATATTTACTTAAACAAGTATCAATCCAAACTAAATATTTTGAATCTCACGTTATTGCAAATAAGCTGAAATACTTTACTGTTATAAAGAATCTTAAAAGCTTTTACTAAACATTTTATATCAATATGAACTATATGTTGATTGTTGATACAAATGTATCCAAAAATAACAAATAGATGTCAGACTCATCACTTGTGACTTTGTTTTGAAATGATTGACTATTAATATATATCAGCAAACAGATGTTTTACAGGGTGTTAAAGTATTATTGAAGTTAAATTTGAATATAAAAAGTCACCAACTTACTTAATTAGTCATAGCAATGTTATTTACTCTACCCATTCCTCGCTCATAAGCCCTTAATGGGGGACCTCCGCTTCTGTAGCTTCATCATGATGGTATCGTTTCTTATTTTCTTAACTACAGATTCATAATTCATTCTTATAATATGTACTGATTGTTGTAATCTGTAAGGATCTACTGGTATTGTGTCGACTTTTTAATTTCTACTACACTCACAGCTTGATCTCACAGCTTGATCTCGGAACTAATATTATTACTGATGTCAATGTTGCTTTCAGCATGCACAAACGTGCAGTATAAACGCTGGAATGATATAAATATCATTACCTATGGTAATGATATAAATACAGACATCATCCTACAAACTGATGACACTATTTAACAAAATAATTTCAGTCTGATATATTCCCGCGGCACTTATAATAATTTTTTGAAAATAATAGGTTGAAGGAAATAGTTTTTTATTTGTATCTAGTTGAAGGTGAGTTAAAAATCGACAAAAGATTTGTTGTCATATGTCTTTTTCACAATTACTACAACTATTCACGGTATAGTACGATTACAAAAATCTTTTACACCATTTAATGGTAAACTCCAATAACTAAGCGCGGTTTCATTCAACCAGACTAATGATTGTCAGTATTTAGGACAAGTTTCTCACCGCCTGCCTAAAACAACCCTTTAAATTTAGTGACCCAAAGATAAATTAACTTGACCATAATTTTTAGTTTCCATTGCATTCATTTGTCGGTGAAATTCATCTTAGTGGAAAAGATGACCCACCAATTTGGGCACCTTTTGTCAAATTCATATTGGTAAGAAGTGATTATATATTTTTTTTTATTATCTGTAAGTAGTCGGAATGCAATAGTATTTTGGAATTTTTGTGTAGCATTGGAAGTAGAAATATTGATCTATGTGATGATACTTCGTTTGGCGGTTCACCAGGTTTTGTAGTCATTGTAACCTTAGCCATTTCTTTAGTAAGTAGATTTGTAATGAAGCTTAAAGCTGTAACTGACTTTCTGAATACTTGTCTTTACATATTTGTTTTAAACGACTAATTTTTGCATGCATAAATTTTAAAGTGCAGTTTCTTAGTAGTTTGGTTAGTTTTATTTATCCATTTGTTGCCAAAGGCGTCGAAAACTACGCTTTTTATTATAAGATATTAGATGCTACTGGGAAAACTTTTTCTGTTTTTGATGAAACTGACTCGGTCTCAATTAAATTCGTTAACTGATGTATTTTTGCAATTGCTCCTTTTGCTCGATGGCATCAAAAAGTTTCCTTTATACGATCCTGATTTAAGCAACAAAATCAGCATATTTTCCTTAAGTATCCTTAGCTCCATATATTGTTTAAAGAAATTTATCAATACAAAATTTTAGCAAAACGAAATAGCAAAACGAATAACAAACGCATATAATGAGGTGAGCACGCAGCTACTAGGATTTAAGAAAACTAATAACAAGTCATGGATGTCACAGGAGACATGGGAATTAATAGATGAACGCAAAATAAAAATCAGAATGTTAAATCAAAGTAATCATTCTCGAGAAGAATATAGTGAACTATCGAAACGAATAAAGAAATCAACTAGAAATGATAAAAGGTTATGGGTCGAGGAAGAAGCAGATCGAGCAGAAACTGCAGCGGCAATTGGAGATATGAAAACGATTTTTGAAATATCGCGACTCCTAACGGGCAAGTCCACATATACAAATAACACCATTTCGTGAACAAATGTTTACCACAAATATTAAAAATATGGTGGCCCAACCGCATCACAAATACCAACCTATGGGCCGTTACAAAGCAATCACCTGCTACTATGGAGATAAGAAGACGTAAATGGCGCTGGATAGGCCACAATCTACTCAAACCCAATAGAGACATTGCATGTCAAGCTCTGAGATGGAATCCTCAAGGCAGTCGTCGACCTGGAGCGCCGGCTTAAACTTGGAGAAGAACAATTGAAGAAGAACTAAGAGAAGCGAACTATTCCTGGAGAGACATATGCGGTGAATCAAATAATCGAATACGATATAAAAAGATGGTAGAAGCCCTACGTTCCACTGGGAGATAAGGATAAGAGGGAGAGAGAGATGCAGAAGCTACATTGTTCAAAGTTTCTACTACTGAATAACGTCGCATTTTCTCAAAACTTGTTGCCTGTATATGGGAAAGGGTCAATTTTGCTATTTTGGTAAGTTTTTCATTTTCTTCACGACTCTGAAGTTGGTAAGTTGGTAAGTTTTAAAGTAAGTCTTTATTTTCTACTTTAATCATGTTAAAAATACAGCTCTTCAATTGTTGCACCAATTGAAAGTTTAAGCAGATTATTAGGTTCTTGTTCGCATTTAATCGGTATTACTTTTAAATCAATTCAAGACAAGAAATTTAAGTTCTTATCAATAATTTTTTTGAGGTCTGTGTTGGACAAACATGGCAACCATGCCTATTACTTATTATTATTATTATTATTATTTATTATATATTTTATATTATTTTGTTTTAAACATGATATGGACGATGCTGCATATCTGCACACCAAGTATGAAGTTCAAGTATGCGCTTTGCTATACACTTTGAAACAAAGTATGCATGCTTCATTTTTTACAGCCTTCAGAACAACAGTGGTGCTCCGCTAACAGAGTGCAAAATAGTAATTGAAACTGAAGGAATTGAGATGATGATAATACGAGTAGCAACACGTTATTTATTTCATTATTTCATTATATAAAGATTTTATATTTGTCTTAGAATTAAACACAATTTCTTATTTTAATTCTTAAAACTAAAATTATTTTTAATTTAATTCTTTAAAATGTGATATTTTAATATTTTTATTCAGAATATAATTTTTAAAATAGAAAAAATTACTTAAAAAATGTTTTTAGCACAAAATAATTTTTAAAATATACAAACTTCATTAAAATTTGTTTGTAGCACTTTTTTTCAAATTTGTGTCTTTTAAAGAAAATAATTGTCTACAACTTTTTCAATTATTTTACAATTTTTTTCCACGATCTTTGCTCGTCTGACGCTCACCAAAAATTTTAAATTATGAGAAGTCTGCACATTTCGATATACACAAGGAGACATGTGTGCAGATTTAACAAATAATTAAAAAGTTTTAATTTTACCGCATACATGTCTTAGGGCCATGTTATACAGAGTGTTTCGGGCACGGCAAAATTCGCTCTTTCGGGCTATGCCGAAAATGCATGTTATGCAGAGTGTCACATCAGTATTGCCAATTTTGTATTTTTACTACTTCTTAGTTGTGCCTAAATTCAAAAGAAAATTTAGATATGCTCACTTTCAAATTGCAACCAAAAATAATTAGCAAGAAAAAACTCATAGAGGCTGTAATAATGTTAATTTATTATTATATTATCTTATAATAATTGTTAACAGTACTTAACAGTACTTAGGCCTTTCTTTAAAATCGAAAAGTGTAATAATTATATTAATAGCGATTTATTAAAAAAAGCTGTGTTGCTTACTGCCATTTTTTCTCCAAAACGTAATAGAATTGTAGTAATTTGCCCTAACAAATAAAGAGTTTATTCTGCATCGCATACACAATATAAAATTAAATTAAGGAGGAAATCTCGAGTAACATGTTGCAATGGTTTCAAAAGCTCACAGATATGAGTGCAATATTGGACGACAACTTAAAAATAGTAATTTTACTAAGTGGCTTACTTCAAGGTTATGACAATTTAGCAACAGCTCTGGAATCACGCCCTGAAAAATTGTGGATCGAAAACAAGACGAATAACTATACTACGTTTCCACTACGTACTTAGTAAGTCATATAATAACATTGAGCTTTTTGCGTTTACATTATCATAAGTTACTTAAGGAATGGGAAAGAGCTTTTATGTGTCAGAAAGTTCTAGTTTTATAGCTTTTCTGTGTTTACATTTTAATTGCAAACAGATGATATTAAATGTTATATTGTTAGAAGATAATAAATCAGCATGGAAAAAAACGCAGAAAATTTAAATAATTTAATACATAATGTTTGTGATATTGTTCACAATATGAAAGTGGCAGTTTCTGCATATACAGAAGAACATGCACCATTTTTCTTAAAATATATCCCCTGGGATTCCATTTTTTATATTTTATTTAGATTCAGTTTTAAATTTTACTACGAAATAAAAATTTTTATGATGCTATTATTTTTTGAGATTTTTTAATATTTTTTTTTGTCCCGCAAAACACATCAACCACATGCGAGTTACATTCTCTTATCTTATCCCTATATTAAATATTTTATTATCGTTGTTTGACTTAATCAAACAACGAAATATCCTACTAATCAGTGACGATTGCTCTAAGGTGCGGAGGTGTGCGGTGAACACCCTAACATAATTTGCAAAATGTCAAGTTATATATATAAAATTATTAAATATCTTTAAATATCTTTAGTTAATATTAGTACTTAAATATAAACAATTTTAATTGGAATATGAAGATTGTGAAGATACCAAAAAAGGCGATATATGACTCTGTAACAACTGGTGCGGCTTAACATAACTTTGCGTCGTCATGAAAGTGTTCATGAAGATAATTTTGGAACGAATCATAAAACATGTTGACCCTAAACTGAGGCGAGAACAAGCGAGAACAAGGTACCTCGACTGAAGTAGCTTCGAGCGCTTTTAGATTATTAATTCTGAGATGGTGTTTGATGTTTTTCCTTAAAAGGATAGCAGTGCCTCCTCCTCTTCTTGAGACCCTGTCTGATCTGTGAATAATGTAGTTAGTGATTTTTAGCTGCATTGAGGGTTTAAGGAAAGCCTCTTGCAGGACCATTATGTCTATTTCGAAATCATGAAGAAATTGTGTAACCTCGTGTTTCTTGTTTGTTATGGAATTTGCATTCCAGGAGTTAAAATTGGCAGTAGGCTTTGTAGCATGGCCTGCATCATATTCTTCATAATCGAGTTTAGATGTGCCTGGAAGTTGTCTATTAACTTTTCTAATTGGGCAGTAGGTTGATGTGGCATGATGGCGAGTTGTTGGGAGGAGCTTCTTGATTCTGCAACATCCGCATACGCACATCCGCATTGATGACTTTATTGAGGGGTTAGGTGGTATCACAGTGTTGAACATTTCGGGGGATCTTTACGAGGCTTCATACATAGGGAGTGATGATATGTGTCCTCACACTTAACACATTTGGGTGCGGCCTTACAGTTGGTGGCAACATGACCAAACTGTTGGCAGTTGTGACACTGAGAGGGACCTTTTAGCGGGCGCTAAGCTTTAACAGTTAGTTTTAGGTGGCAAACATTGGATATGTTGTATATATCCTTTTGGTCCGCAGGGAGACGGATTTTAAT